TCAGCACCAGGGCACAGCTCATCTGTCGTTCGTGTGAGGAAGATTTGAGAATGAGATCATTGGTTGACTATTCGCAACAATCCGTTTGGCAACGCGCTCAAGCTTGAGTCACTTTGTTGTTGTCAGTTGCGTGCACGTAGTTCATAACACGAGAGACTCGGCCACACCTGGTCCTTCAGAGCGTGACTGTTGGGTAGAACTGCTTGATGGTCCTGCGAACGCTTATATCACCTCAGCCAGCAAGGACAGGAGTATTACTAGTTACATAGACTATACTAGCAGGAGTGACTCTTAACAAAAAAAGCCTCATCACACTACATAGTACCTACCTTGAATACATGTATAGAAAGTGGGCTGTATCTTTTAACCAAAACAAGAAAGCGGCGTCCGAAAGAGGTTTTCATTTATATACGCGAGCCCAGCAGGGAGATGCGTGAAACCCAAAAGTACAATACCCAACAACTGGACGTTTTCTTTCTCTCTGTCCACCTGATTTACGCACAACCACAGTTCTGATAATCTATCCGAACCTTGCATGCTTTTCAAAAATACACACGCAAAGCAGTTGTCTCTTGGCAAAATCAGCTTAATGTTTTATGAAGCTTTTGTCAACATCTGCTTTCGGGCTGAAGGGCGTCAGTCAAGTCTTTAAAAATGATCCTCCCTGGCAAAGAAAACGTCCAGTTTTTATTTACTTTTGGGTTTCAATCTCCTGCTGGCTCGCTTAAGAAAACCTCTTTGACTTTCTTGTTTTGGTAAAAGATGTGCAACTGAATCCAGGAGACTAGAGAGATCTTTTTTTAAGTCACTGGTACAATTTTAACAATACCTGTCGCTGCAGTGAAAAGGGCCAGGACCACAAGCAGTCACCAAAGTTGAAGGACCAGTGTGGCCAGTGGTAAATACATCAGCAACAACAACAACAAAGGACAAGCTAGCGTTGCCAAAGATGTTGGGAATATCAAAATGAATTTTTCAATTCCAGGAAACAGGAAAACGTGGGTAAATAGCTGTTATCTAAGGCTATCTCACCAGCTAGCCTTCACTAGCTGTCCCTGCAGTTTGGTTTTTACCACTTTGTTTGTAGTTTTTGTGGATTTTCCATCCTGTTTTTTTTCTTCACGGAAAATTACGCATTTTTAGGATGTAATCATGTTTATGGTAAGATGTCAAAAAGTCAGATGCCAGTCTTAAGTTACATTAAACATGTAGTTACTGTGTTTTGGCTTTGTACTGTAAGGTAGTATGTAGGCAGCTTAGAGAGTTGTGTCTGTATTTTATATAACGTGTCAGACTCAGACACTGTCAGCGCATTGAAGCCATGTGTCAAAGGGAAATGGCTCTTTTTTTTTTTTTTATCTGTGAACAAGCTAGGGGATCTCTACAAACCAGCACTTCTTAATTTACTCTTTGTAAAGAAAAAATTATATTTGGAATATCACTATTGCTATAGAAACTTACTCAAGTGGTAATGTCATTCCATTATTCTGCGTGGAGGCATTTGAAGGTCACTGTTTAATGGAAGAGGGATGTTCACTGCACAAAATATGTATCAAGATTAAAGGGTACTTTTTTTATTGCTCACTGACATGCTAACTTAAATTAATGAATATTGTTTACGGTCACAACAACATGTGTTTTCTTTTAATGAATGTTTTTTTACACTTACTGATTTGCACTTAATGAAGACTAACTGTATGTACAGTTTCAATTTATTTAAATGTGTCACATGGGAGCCATATAGCACAATGGAGCAAAGCATTGTGTATGTAATGCATTTGTTAGTGTTCTCCTGACACTTATGGGAAGGTTATTTAATACCACTTTGATTTAATGGCAACAGCGTTATTGCTCTCTGCATTTGTTTCCTTATATTTTGCATGCTGTCTTAATTATTTTACCTCATTCTGAAAAGAAGCAAGTAATGACTAAAATGGACTTTCTCAGTGTTTGTATAGGAGGAACTTTACAGGTTTTTAACCTCATTTGTACTGAATCTTTTCTGTGAAGATGCCGCCTAAATGAAAGTAAATGTCTGCATAATAAACTGCAAAGACTCAAAGAAAGTGTGTCAAGATTGTTGAGATAATTATTGTTTTGTTGTTTTCTGTCCCATATTTTCATGTTTCATTTCATTTCAAATTCATAAGTTTTAATAGTCAGCTGTTCAAACACTTTTAATATGAAAATGAGAATGAAGAAATAACTGCAATTCTATAGTGTAGTGCCAGAAGTACTAAAAAAAACGTGGGATGTGGGAGTTACTGACTGCATGTACATTTATAATGAGTTGTAATATATAGGGCCTGTCAAATTGTACTCTATACATAGAAAATATATAAAAAATGAGATGAAAGACAGAGCTTAAATTGCATGAAGCTGAGACCTGAATGTGTTGTGGTTGTCTGACACCACTAGAGGGAGAGAGCAGGCTCTTTCTGCAGCCACCGACCAACCAATACAATCCAGAAGCAATAAAGTCATAATGGGAGGCTGAAACATAGGTTCTTTAAGGAAGAAAGTAGTGGTTTGTTGCCTTCCTTAAAAGTAGAAAGTGCTCAGAGTAAAGTAAAGTACTTAATGTTCAAGTCTGCCATTATCACAAACTACATCTCAACACAAGCTAAATGGATGTAGAGTCAGCCAAAGAAAATGCACTGAAGATGCAAATGGCCAAAAAAGGAGAAAGCCTACGGGACAGGCAAAGATCAAGGCAGCTATGTGCACACTCACTCCTCTTAGTGCGGTGAAGTGGTATGGCTGTCCAATATCCTTAGTATCTGCATGCATTATTTACTCAAGGATGCTACCAGGGCTGAGGCTAAGCACTTAAAATGAGACTGACAGGAACTGGCCAGCCTCCTCTGAACATTATCAGGTTTCAGGGTAAAGCTGATTAAACAGTCGGTCAGAGAAAACATACAGTAGGTCAGACGCTTGCAGCCACATTCACGTGGGAACTCAGAGATGCATCCTTGATTAAATGAATCATTAAATAGAATAAAAACCAGCATGAATCTGAATCCTGTGGTTCTTCATCTGCATTTGCATTAAGCTCATCATCATAGCATACAATGCCTGGCCCACACACTGCAGAACTTAGATGATATATGATAACAATCCATTAAAGAGGTTCACTCAGACTCTTCTGTGTTGTCCATGCATCGTTCTTCACGTGTTGCCCGTCAGTGAGTGTGGTAGCATCTTGCATGTTAATGATATGCTGTGCTGGCATGTTGTGCTCTTCAGGGAGTCCATGCAGCAGCTGCGTCCGCGGGTGCTAACCTGTATCTGCCTGGTATTCACTGACACACACACCCATTTGTAAGGTAATAATATTAGTGTTATTAGAGTGTGACGTGTTATGCAGGGTAATAACTCTCGTGCATTTGGAAGCCAATTGTGTTAAAAGGGGTTTAATTTGTGAATATCTATGAAAAGATGGCGACTGTCTGATGTGATGGGTGTGTCTCAGTGCCGGCTGCTTTCTTGTGTAGCTTGGCTGACTAGCACGAGATACAGACCTCTGTGCAATCTGACTGTACACGAAACACAACGAGAGCATGCCTGTATCTGTTTAAACAACTAATGTGTTGTGTAAGAGTTTGTCAAAGGTAGCAGACCCCTGACTGGAGGCCAGGTTTTTTGGGGCTTGACCGAGCGCCAGCCCTTTTGTGCTGCGGCTGCCCCAGCTGGACCGTGGGCCGGGGGGAAAAAACAATGAGATAAATAACACGGGAACTGTGCAGCGGGGTACACAGCCCTGCCCCTTCCTGTCTCCGCTGCCGCACACCACTGCCTGTGTGAAAAAAAACAAACACCTTCCTCTCTTTGTTGCGCCTGGTTGACCATGCCAATATGTCCATCAGTATCAAGCCAGCAGGCATCGAACCCCCACCGCCGGAGTCCCCACCCTCTTCCTGGTCTCCTTCCATGTCTTTCATATGCTTGCACACACACCTGCATGCATACTGTTTAATCACATGTTCACACAATGATTTCCACACAGCCACAGTATGTGGAAGACATTTTCAGCAACGTTCGGTCTGAGCAACTATTTGAATAACTTGATTAATCTTGCAAATATTTCTGTGGGTATGACTTGACCTTCAGTTATGATTCAACAGCAAGACAAGTGGTATTGTTGAACAGAACGTAACTCTGAGCAATAAGTGATGGGAGGTGCAACCCTGCAAGCTAGTGGGCTGATCCTCTTCAGAGAAACACAAACAAAACCTGCTCTGGAAATCTGACAGAGAAAGATAAAGTGAGATCAAGAGACAACATGTTATTCTATGCAGTGAGGTGCACGTGTAGTGTACGGTTTAGGCTTTTGTGCCATTTCCACCATGAGCTCAAACAAGCATCTCTAGGGCCAAATCTCCCCTCTCCGAGACTTGGAAAGAGAAGAGTGCACCACGGGCTCAACATGAAAAGAAACCCATCCAGAACAGAGCAGTACACAAAAGCCTGGCTCATGTAGACAGGGGCGGGCGGCTGCCGGGAGCTGAGCAGCAGCGCAGCAGACAGACAGGCAGACAGGCGGCATGCCCACCCAGACTGTCTCTGATGAAAAGCCCCGTTTTGGTGAGCAGCATGGCACACAGAAACAAAAGCTTGTAAGCCATGAAACAACGCCCTCCGATGTCTGATTGTGACTGAGAGAAAACACGCAACTTAACCAAAAGGAAGGCACACTATATCTGCTGCTCCAAGCTGTCTTCGTTTCTTGCTGGTGACTTCACCCTTTTCGATTCTTTTCTTCCAATTCCAGCCCTGTTCACTGCAGCTTGTGCACTCGCAGGCAGGTGCACATGTTAAGCTGCATCCACTCATGGCCATCTTTAAAAGGACTGTCGCTTGCAGGAAATGTGACTTTTAAGATAAAGAAAGATATAAAATGTGCAATATTATGCACATCCTAATTTGGAACTTGTCTGAAATGAATTTGTTAAGGGCAGAATCCATTAAAATAATCTTAATTACAATTTTACAATCAACAGGTCTGAAATGTGCTCAGAGATTTAAAATTCTCAATGCAACAGTCACAGTGAAGGCAGACAATGCCGGCAACTTGATGCATGTAGGACAGCAGTAATGCACCGTTAAAGTGTGTGTGTGTGTGTGTGTGTGTGTGTGTGTGTGCAGTCGGGCATGGAAAAAGGAAGAAAAGGGTTTGAAGAGGAGAGAAAAGGGGGTGCAGGGGCCTAAGAGGGAGGGCAACAGACAACCAGGAGGAACTCGGGCAAGAGAGTAGGGTGACTTGCAAGAGGTGACATCATCCTTAATTTGAATAATCCCCCAGCCTCGGAGGTGATTGGCTGTGCTTAGAAAAAGCAGAGTCCCCCTGCTATTCGCTATTCACCCCTTTCAATTTCAGCATGGCGCGCTGTCGTGGTGAATGCTGCCTTCAAGGACTCATAGTAACCTCCTATTTCTGAGGTTGGAAGTTGTAAAAGACTGTTTTATTAACTGTGAAATAAAACCAAATGTACTCTGTTAGCTGGAGTCTCATTTACAGTAAGCTGAGTTATTCTGTGCCATCTGTACAATGTAAGGCAGTGACCGAATAAAAATACTCAATAATCAAATGTTTTCTTTTCATGTGGTGTAAGCAGGTGCCAGGCATCGCATCAAACAACCACTCCGCTCTCTGTTGGTTTTCTTTCCCGTAAGCAGACTTAATTAGCATTATGTAAATTATAGCAGTATTTGAATGGTTGCTACTCAGTTGATATTTGTTTTTAGTTTGTTTTTCAAAACAGTGTCACACTGAGCCGGGTGGATCCTGACTCCATACAAAGACATTTCTAATGGTGTGAAAAAAGACTTGTCAAATAGGTGTAACTGAGCATTATTTAATAATCGCTGCAGTCCATTTAGGGATGCCAGTACTTGTGGGCATGACTGGAATTAATCTGCTATGGCTCCCCAATTAACAGTTATCTCCCTTAATATTTCACTGG